CCACTCTTTTAGTAATCTAAATAATAGACATAACCAGTCCCAATAATAAATAATGGTGTAGCTTTAACTTAACACATTGCTTTATTTATTACGAGTTAAAAAGGTAGCCAGTGTTACTTAAGAGTAAGACTGCCTTAATAAATTTATGGCATGTTAATATTGATTATCTATACCTGCTTTAAAAAATGTTGATTGTTGAATAACTTTCTCGAGTTAATCGAGTTTGTCAAAATTTATTAGACATTGATTAATAACAGTTTAACAATACTGTTAAGTCATTAACCTATTTACACAAACAGAACTCCTGTTTAATTATGAATAGCTCTAGCTAGGTAGGAAGCATTGAAAGGGGAAAACAAGTCTTGGTGTTTTCACATGCTGCTTAAACACTGCCTACTACAATAAGCATTTAAGTTGTTTGAGTTACTGATTTCTCAACCTGCTCATGTATTTCTACAGTTTCTTTCAGCCTGTATTATAAAATGTAAATGTAATAACTTGTTTAATGTTCTATCTAAACTTCCACTGGTATCCACAACGTCTCACTTAAAAAAAAAAGTTGTTTTTCTATACTTATAAAGTTGTTAGTTATTTTTAAAGTTTTTCAGGTTGATAACAGAATTAGAAAAAAATTCTAAAACATTGCAATTAAAGATCTTTTAGATATTTCCATGATTTTAATATTTCTTATATTACTTTGATTTCCACTTTATGAATCATTTTAATCTCTGTAAGAAAGGTCAATGTATTAATATAAGGTTTCTTTCCAAATAGTAAGAGTTGCACTCTCTTTGTCTTTTTTAGAATCAGTACAAGTTTGTTTTTATATTGCACACTGTGACAAAAATCTTTACTAATTTCACCATATGAAATCTAAGGACAATTATTTTTAACATTAGTTTTGTACAGTTTTATTAATTTGTAGAGAAAAACAAATGGAACAGTAATAATTGCATTTTCAACTTGTTACAGGTTTCAAACTACATTGTGTATATGATACTTTTTTGTAACCCTATACAGTTGTACATGAAAATGTAACTTAATTCTAAATTGTTGTCCCTGAAAATGTATATATTAGCTGAACGGTAGTTTGAAAAGGTCTTTTAAAAAAAACAACTAAAATAAGCTGAAAATAGGAAGATTATTCTCATGTGAGAATAATAAATTAGTTGAATGTAGCTGTTTGTGTCAAATGTCTAATCAACAAGCAAATTCCACTTATCACCCAGCTCTGTCAAACTTTTTTGTTCTGATTCATTCTATTCAACATTGCTGAATCTCCTAGTATTTCCACACACAAAATAAAAAAAAAGACAGAACTTACATCTTTTGAAAAAAACACTTAGATTTAGGGTAGTAAAAACATTCTAGTAGTAATTTGTCTGTGCAGTTTACTGTACAATAATTTTAGTCATAGAGAAAAAAAAATAAAGTCATCAAAATATATAGTATTTAGACAGAAGTGATAAGAATTTAACAAATATTAATTGTTATGGATGTTGTGATATAACTATATGGATAAGTTATTGTTTGATATCAGTTAAACATGCAACATCCATTTCATATAAGTCATTACTTTAATAAAAATGATTATTTATTAATAACATATATAGTAACAGTGGAAGAACAGTTAAGTATTTTGTACTTTGTTTTCTTCAGAGCTGTACACTATGAAGACTTTAAAAATTAAAGTTTTGGCGATTTCCTGTAAGATTGTTTTTGTGATTAAAGTTTTTGAAGTAATAAGTTCTAAAGGGAATTAATTATTTATTGTTCGCCATTAAAGTCTTGGTGATCTGAATGAAGACTAAAATATTAGAACATAGCTTTAAAATTGCTCAGTAGGGTTGAATACTTAAGTATTTATCATTTCATAAAGTTATTAGATTTCAGACTAATAAATAATGTATAGTGTGGATGAATATTGTAATGAGAAATTGAAGTCATTTCTTATGCATAAGGTCTACCTTATGTTATCAAGGGCATACTTGTTACTGCATATTAAGTCAGTTTTCAGAAGTATTAAAATGTGTCTATTATTTCAATTTCATCACTAGACATTAGACCCTATAAACTAGATACATATTTTTTGTATACTTTTTCAACACATTGTAAACACCTTTTTTTTGTAAACAATATCTAAGAAAGTTTGATGTATGTATTAAACATCCAATATTTCTAAATTTACAACCAATACTGTCAACTTTTACTTTGTTTCAAAATGTAAATTTCTAAATATAAAAACTTACTATCTTAAAATGAAGGATAAAAAAATATCCTTATGCCACTTAACATACAATACCCAAACTAGAAATCCTAGCATAGACACAAAAATGTGAACACAAGTTCACAGTTAATTTAAAAGTTATACACATATATAATTTCCAATTCAGACAGTCTTGTTCTAACACACACATATCCTTCTAACAGTAACAACCAACCAATCCACATATTCCAAAAATAACATCTTAACATAGAAATTACAATGATCAACTATCATACAATGGGCAGTTTATGCTGGTTGCTTCATTCCTTTCAAGAGGAAAGAATTTTTCCAGTTTACTCACTATCACTTTCGCTTTTTATACAACAATGTTATCAACTTCCTGTATGTACACCATCCTATAAATATTCATGAACTATGAAAATTAATAAAGAACCACAAATCTTGATATCAAGGTAAACATAAGTAACAGAATAATACAAATACCAATTCATGTAACTGAATGTAAAATAACTAAATCTTCTTTAAAAAAAGGAACTGCTCAGAAATGACAAATTAATTTCTCAAGATATCATAAATACAAGACGATGGTGTTCATACAGAGGCATTCACTCCTGTATTTTCCCGATATTAATAATTATTATTTAATTAACAAAAATACTATGTTTACATAAGAAAAGGTAAAACTGTGTGCAATAAATGCTTCATTACTGCTTTTACCTGTAGATATGTGAACATAGTAATAGTGACATTTCTAAGAACTGGGAGTGAATACCACATTACATTTAAAAACAAACTATTAAAAAAAATGTATTAAAGTAACACTAACTATGTACAATTTCCAAAATCAAAAATTTATTTTAAGCTAATGTAATTTTATATTATACACAGTCATGGTTTAAGCTGTCACTCTCAAAATTTGTACAACCTTATTAAAGAGAAGTTCTGCTACAATTTAATTTCTTATCAAAATGTTTTTTTTTTATTTGTATTTTACCAATTTTTTCCTGTTTTACATAAAACTTGGTTTTTCTAGATTCTGAAAGTTGATTCTTTTAAAGTCCTAACACTATTACTAGCTGATTTTGTTTCATTCAGTATTCTCATGAAGTTTAATATCTATATACACATAACTTGTTTCATGCAATGTTCATTTTCTTTCTAGAGAATTGAATATCCCTTTTAATTTTTAGACTTGCAGTGAGAATATTGACATGTAGATCTTTGTAGTATGTAATGCATACAGTTGTGCCTATTATATCAAACAAGACATAATATATTCCATTATATAAATACTAAGCTATAAAAAAGTTGACCATTCTAATAGGCCAACTTCTGAATTAATTTTAGGCATTTTGCTAATCATCAATCATGTTAATGACCTTGTGTAAAGCTTTTACACTATTATAGCTCTTTGCTTAAGACACAAATGCTTCTAAACAGCTAATGCATAAACATGGTGCCTGCTAAATACATATAACAAAAATTATATCTTGTGTTCACATACAGAACACCAAAATTTTTCAAGAGAATACTAAAAATATAAAGCAAATATGTAACATACATGTGTTTCAAATTTTTCTTTAGTGCTTTTACAATTTGAAGTTACTTTAGAAACTTGTATAAAACACTTCATATTGAAAAAAATACATCTCAGTACCTCAGCAAATAAACCAAATCTTTCACCACAAATTTTATTTTGCAAATTAATCAAGTGCTAGAATGAAACCAGAGGTTTTGTATGTACTCATTCATAGCGTAATCTGCAATCAAAAATTGCAACTCAAATATGTAACTTCTTTGCTCAGTGTTTACATTTTTATATTGTTTCTATTTTAAGACAATATGATAATCTGTCTACAGACAGAATTTGGTTACCTTTCACAACTCATTGACTACATTTTATATCATCTATTTTGAGGCAATTTGAAAAATCCTATCTATAGATAGGTCATATTGAATTTAGTAACTACTTGGCTTATTTTAACTCTCTTTTCAAGTCTACATATTACACTATTATGGAATAATTAATTCATCCCTTATTTAATTCCATGTTTCTCAGAGGTAAGTATAAAAGGCTGAAATTACCTATTTTTAACTTAATAAAAATTAGATTTTTGATTTTGTTTTTAAGAGTACTATTGTTTACATCTGAAAATTCATATTAGTATGAGCTAACATGAGTATTTGTTGTCTTTTATATATTTATTGATTTTTTATATAATAACTTCATTAAAAATTCTATTTGGTTCTCACCTGATATTTTCCCCCATTTTTTAACTTGTATACGTAAAATGTTGTAAAGGTTGGTTGCAGAACACTACAAATTAATATATATATCTGGAATAACTCCAACTGAAGATTTTTTAAAACTTAAGCATTTGTCTCATAGTTTTTTTTTTTGATACAAGCACAGCACTGTAAAAATCAACTTTAAATTCAATTCATTCCAGTTTGGTTTAAAATAAGTATTACATAATTTCAACTTAAAAACAAAAAATGTTTTGAAATCACAGTTTGGTCCCAGTTAATGAAAATGCTTACAGAAAAAGCTGAGTAAATCATGCAAAATAAAGCATAAGGAATTTTTTTCTTCTATAACAATCTATAAATGTTTTAAAAGAGCTGGAAATATATTTGGTAACATTTCTACTTTGAGAAATGTATTTTCAATTAAAATAATCATCATATAATATCTCCTCAATGCTGAAAAACTTAAGACATAATCAGCATTGAAATAAATCATACCAACATCTGAAAAGTAATACAAGAAAAAGTAAGGATTTACCAGTTACTTTGCATATTGTATACTTATTTTGCATATAACTAGCAGAGCATCTGAGCATGTTTCACATAGTTATACCAAATTTAGGAGAGACAAAAGTATCCTGTCTTTATCTTCAATCATTGTCATCTAGAGAGTACACTACCAGTCTACTCCATCCAGAAATCCTGTATGTTCCTCCAGACGTCTGTAATATACGTTTAGGTTAATCTTGACTGAACTTTCAAACACAAAAACAATTATTGAGTTTTTGTATTAAAAACTAAAATGCTAAGACTATCTGTAAGCTAAAACTATATACAAAAATTCAAACTCGGAACCACTCAGAATACTGTTAACTACTCCATGATTGATCTAGTTTCAAATGAACATTTTTCAACGGTTCTTCCAGAAAATTACTAGCAAAAAAAACATTAATAAAAAAAATAATGTTCTCAATTTAAAAACTTGATCAAAGTAACACTTAAAAGAATTAACACATACATATTGAACTTAATGAAACAATGTTCATTTCATAACTTACTGCATTGTAGTAAATGTTTTAGGAATTTTTACTCAATATCTATCTCCACAATGTACTATTATTTTCTAATGCAAGTTCTTATAATGAACTATATGTATCTGGTATTTGTTACACAAGTTTCATCAACAATATACAGCTACACTGTAGAAACAGAACACGAATAGAAGTAAATATAACAATAAAAACTATTTTACTGACCACCATACACACCTTTACTTGTAGAACCAGTAATTAGAGCGAAAATAGAAGTAAACATAATAATAAAAACTATTTTACTGACCACCACACACCTTTGCTTGTGAAATATGAAGCTTGACATCCCTTCTTAAAATCCCTGGACTGGTAGTCTAATTTAAGAAAATGAATAATGATTAATTAAACAAGTTATTTGTTTACAGTAAGATGGTAATATGAAAGTTGCTTTTCATTTTGAAGAGCTGTTTCATTCTATTTTTGCTGCTTATTGCTCTTTGAGAACTATGGTCTTCATTATTTAAAGCACATTTTACCAAATTAGTGAATTTTGAGGTTAGTTTCCCATGAAATTGATTCAATATAGGATCTCATTAATTTCCTTAGTTCAAAAGGTTATGATGTACGAGTATGAAAAAAAACAACAACAAAGGATTATGGTCATTCAATAATTATGAATTAAGTGAAATTAAGGAGAGTGCTGGAAAATCAGAAAGTGAATTAGTAACAATGCTTAATAAAACACTTAAAAAATTATCCAATTGGCTGATAGTGTTTGTTGCCAATTGGAGGCTTGACAGTTGATCAAAAAAGTTCATGTTCATAGAGGCACTACAGCTACTTCATCTAGGTTTGAAGTGCTGGCCAACTATTGGTCTGGAGGCGGGTGAATGAACAGTACAGTACTATATACCTTCAGAGTTTGCTTGCTTGAGGATAAGGTAGAGATGGTTTTATGGAAAATTATTGGAGTGAGTAAAAACAAATAAGGAGCAGAAATATCAGAAGTAAGACAAGAAATTAATAGGGTTGGAGTAAAAATTGCTTTGGGAGAAAGTGAAAAGAGATTGCTGGGTTTACACAGGTGAATACCAGCAAAACAGGGCTATAAACGCAGTTTCAGTTGAAATTAAGATACAAGTTTCATAGATTTGAAACTTTGGCTGCTTGTAATTAGGAAACTCTCATTAATGATACCAATAAAGTCTTGTGATGGATAACATTGAAAGATAAAGACTACAACTATAATGCTTGTCTGATGCTAAATTAGAGGACATTATAGAACATGTTGACAGTTTAGTTGCTAGTAACAAAAAGCATTCTGTTTTTGTAGTGAATGTTATTGAAAATTGTACATCAGAAGACGTGTTCAAGAAAAATAACTTCTTCAGGGGTCTAAGGATAGAAATAGATATGTGGCCCTTCCCGAGATGCACCCTTGGATTACATGTAAGAATGAATTATTTAGCAGGATCCAAGACTTAAACGAAAAATTATCAACGGCATGCTTAGAGCAACAGGTGGGCTGGTTTGGGGGGATAGGATGAATTATACAATAGAGATGAGTTTCATTTAAACAGGCTAAGTAGAAAGATACATGAGGAAGTTCAAACAAAATTGAATTAAGACAGCTTTTAGTAAACTTGCATAGTGATTAGGGAAACAGGAAAATTGGAAATAAACAAACTGACAGAATAGCTATGGGAATGAGGAGACTGGAAAAAAAAGAAACGAAAAAGAGTTGGAGTATAAGTTAAAAAATTTTTTAAAAATAAGCTTAGTTGCTGTTAATCTAATGCTAGGAATATCTGGAAAACAAGAGACAAGTTCTGGGCTCAAGTTGAATCAGAAGAGTGTGATATTATATATGGAGAATATTGATAATAGGAATTGTTTTGAAATCGAAGGTTGTAGGTTATTTAAAGGTAATAGGCTTTTTAAAAGATAGGGTGGGGTGGACCTTTATATAAGGGACGAACTGCATCCTGTTGGGAATGAAGATGAAATATGGTATTCACGTGGTTGAATCTATGCAAGTTAAAATAAGGGTTTTCAAGGGAAATTTTTTTTTTTTAAACTGGTAACTGCTATAGGTCACCTGATGAGGCAGATGATGTCAATAACAAATTGTATAATGAGATGAGAGATGTTACTAATAATGACACTGATGCAATATATATGGCAGACTTTTAATTTTAGACACATTGGTTGGGAGTGTATGAAGTCAAGTAGCGCTAGAAAGACGTTTCTTGAAGTGATTTGGGATGGTTTTCTGTATCAAGCAGTCACAGAGCCAACCAGAGTGGATGCAATTTTAGATTTATTGTTAACTACTAGTAAGGTTTTGGCTGCAAAAGTTGAAGTGGGGAACTTGGGAGTGAGTGACCATTATATTAGTAGGTTTAATAATTTGCTACATGTTGAGATAATATTCATTCTTAGCTGCAAGGGGGATGTTGATGTACTACAAAATGACATGGATCAATTGGATGTTTAGACAAATAATTGGCAACTGACCTTTGATTATTGTAATTATATAAAAGGTAATGCATTTGGATTATCATAATTTGGAACACATGCTTAATACACATGTAGAAGGGAACTTACTTAATAGCATGAATGAAGAAAAGGATCTTAGCATAGTGGTAAGATAAGTCAGTCATGCCATTGAGACAGTGCTCTATTGATTAATAGTAATAAAGCTAATTGCATTTTAGGGTGTATTTAAAGACACTGATTACAAGTCAAAATAGGCAATTATATTTTATTTAAATCACTAATTAGGTCTTGTGTGTAATATTTTTTTCAGGTTTCATCTCCTGATCCAAGAAAAACATTGATTTATTAAAAAAACTAATTCTGAGGTGGGTTACTAGGATGATTCTGGGAGTGGAATGGTTATTTTATGTTAAGATCTCTCAATTTATTTTCTCTTGAGAAAATATGGATAAGAGGTTATCTGAATGACTTATTTAGTATAGTGATTGGCTGGAGAATGCTTTTAATGAAGCAGATCTAAATGATAATTAGATGATTTTATTATAACAAGTTGAAAAAAGCTTCAGTAACTATGTAAAGAGTTGCATGCTATTTATTAATTTATGGAATTTCTGCTTTAGTAATCTAAACCAACACCCC